AGATCAAGATCTTCAGATGATGTGGTGCTGCAGGTTTTTCCGGGTTTTCCTGCAGCTGAAAAAGCAAATGCGCCACTGGAATCAATGAAGTCGCCCCGGAGCGCCAATTAATTTTTATTGTTGTATTTATTTTATTTTTATCGTTGTTTTAACACATTGTAATAATTTTATATATAATTACAATATCAAAAATTTAAATTTTATCAATATAATGGTTAATTTCATTATTATATTGAAATTATAATTGACTGATTATCTCCGAATAGAAGGGAGTGTTTGAAATGAAATTCCAAGTCCAAGTTTGGCATTATTTCAAATTCTGATTTTGTTTTCCGTTCCAGGAACTGACTTTTTAAACTCTATACTGTAAAAACTTTCTCAACTTTCAATTTCGATCTATAATATTTTCATTTGATTATTCTTATCTCAAGGGGGTATACATGTGACCCGAAGTTTTCTAAGACGACGTACTTCAACGATAAGAAAATTATTAAATGATGAAAACGGTTGCAGCTTCATGGTAGTTTATACTTGTCAGCGTTCATCTCAAAATCTGATAACAAATAAGCCAAGCAATGACCTCCTCGGGCTGAACGTGAAAAGCCAAGACTCCCCGATTTCTCGCTCATCCGCTCTCCTGAATAAATAACTTGATTGTAACATTGACTTGGGCATCGCTTATTTTCTCATAGAACGTCAGTCTTCAAATACACCTATTGAATAATGTAAATGCTATAGATTTTTGAGTTATTACTACAAACACTGTATTTACTCTTGTTGTATTTGCATGTCTATCGTGAATATCGGATCGAAAGTATTATAAGAAATTCACGAATGAGGCTCTGAAAAATTCAGGAGATTTTTCGATATTGATTATCAAATATATGCAAACTACATCAACAAGGAACTGAAAGGACTTGCTTTCTTCGTGACAATATACGTTTTACTGGACGTCGTTTCTTATTGTATGTTCGAAATGTCTGACATATCGTTCATAAAATGTACAGTGAAAGTGAAAAGTTGCTCACACAATTTTGTTATTAAAGAAAGGGCGAATCCAGAAACATAGCAAGAGTGGTGCATCAATGAAAAACGTATTGTTGGAGTCTATGGCAACAACAACGAAATTTATTTCATCATAAGAGCGAAACATCCATCTCTTAACTCAACTTGTAACTTTCTCCAAAATGTAAACATTTTCGTCCACGCTGTGCTCCTTACGAGTCGCAGCCACTTGGAAAATATTTTGACAGTTAATCGTTGAAAGTTAATGGATTTTTATCAAAAGAAAGATATCAATAGAAATAACAAATGAAAACTTTTGAAATAGAATTGCTAACTTCCCATCATGGATTTTGCAGGGTATTCCTATCCTTTCGTCATGTTGAAAGCAGTCGTCATGTTTATATATACGGTTTATATATACGGGTGAACAATGGACGATATAAAGTATCTCGGCGCTGCAGTAACGTACAAGGGGTAGTTGTAGTGATGCTGTTTAAACATAATAATTAAACAAAACATGGCATCCAGATGACGGCGTACAACGATGCAGAATTCTAACGTAAATACGTCGGTGCGCTTGAAACCCATGTAAATGGTTTGTTTGCGAATGTGAGGGACGCAGGGGAAGAGGCTGCTCCACTCATAATTTGGCTTGGTAATTAATTTGTGACAACACGGAGGTCCACTCGATCTGTTTGCGGTGCTAGAATGTGCAGAGGGGTGGAAATCGACTTATATTTCTGCGACACGATCAACCGATGGCGAATATGTGGGAATGTTTACTAGCAAAGCTCACTATCAACAGGGTTAATGAACGCAGTGAAAAATGAAAGTTACACAATCACAAAATAAAATATACCTACTCTGGATTTTCATAAATGAAATTATATTAATAAAGTCTTGTGATGCACTGTTTGGGACGTACCTTTACTGTAGTAATGAATATTACTGGAGTTTTATCCCACCACGAAACCATTATTTTCAACAACTCGACACGTGTTTCAAACACACACTTAAAAGTTTAATTTTTCTCTTGAAGATGATCACATGGTGATTGAAACAAGTGTCGAGGTGTTGAAAGTAACGGTTTGGTATTGGAAATAGAACTCCAGTAATATGTATTAATGAAGTCATCAAACTACTAGAAATAACTTGTTTTTCATTGGGAAAAATGAATTCAGATCAATGTTCGTCCGTCCATAGATAATTGATCGAAAAGCACTTATTATCCAATGAAAACTATAACTGGTTTCTATACGTTTTTTGTAAAATGAACAAAAGGTGATTACCAAAAACTTCTACTTTCTTCCTCTCATTTGTAATGAAAATCATTCAATAAAATACCTGATGTAGTTATAAAGTTTTCATTTGAACAGCTTATCGGTAAATCGAATCAAATTGTGTTCTAAAATATTAATCGTGCCTAGGTTTAAAGTTTACACAACCAATTGAATTGAAGTAGTATCGATCAAGATGTAATAACACTAATCCCGTTTCGGTTTCTACCGTTCATTTTTTATTTATACTGAAGCAAAATAACAATTTCTCATTTCGTTTTCAATCCGCTCAGCGAAGATGGGAGTGGCTAGTGGTCCAGTCTAAAGGGAGTAGATCATTCTTGAATACGAGAAATAGAAATGTCAAAAAAAGGGCATGGTTTCATATTATATATTCTTGAACGATTTTCATTACTTAACGGTAGAACTAAATTCTATCAATGACTGGACTCGCCCTGAATTTGAGGGAAACTGATGATACAACTATTATTCAATGTACAAGGCATTTCATTTTTGTCATTTTGATTCCAGATTAGTTTATTTCCTTCGAATACAGTATCAATATTCGAGATGGTTTGTTATATCTTTATTCATTCCATACTGATATCAACCATAGTGATAGTGTGATAAACCACATATAAAACTCAAATTCGACCAAGCTCGCAACTCTCTCACACAGAACCTAATCACACAATAGATAAAATACTTCAATTATTTATTCCTCAGAAATCAGCTAGAAGCCATTTGCAAATAATAATAATAGTTTTTTTTTTCGAGCATACTCGATACCAAAATTATTGGCATCTTCCTAAAGGATAATACTACGTAATAGTTTTGTTATGTTATAAATTTAATACCTACGTGCTTTTTTAGACACAGGTTGAGAATAAATAATGGAGATGACATTTTTCCTTAGATTGTCTAAAAGTATCAAAGTAGAAATATACGTTTTCAAAAAAAAAAGAGTTAGTTACAGTCTTAAAAACTCACTAAGTACCTATAAAAAATATACCGAAACTTGAAAGCGCACGAAATAAACTGTGAAATTATTTTTTTTTATAAAATCTATGAAACTCAAAATTCAAAGCGACCCGGAAGCCAATCAAAACATGATCCAACGTTTTCTGTAGTTCTGAAAATACTTTTCATATAATTATAAAAGAATTCTATATTATAGTTATTTATGTATCAAGGGAATTAGGAGGGCCTTAATTACCGATGGCAAAGTTTGCGTCCCGCGGGCCTCTGGCCCGAGGGACAGCAATTGCCTGAGGTTATTAAGGCTCATTAATTCCCGTGGTACATAGATAATTTTATTTCTGACCGATTTCAATAAAATTTTGTTCATTTTTGAAACGGAAAAATGTACCAATTCATTACCTTCCCGGTATATTTGAATCAGGTACCGTTGATTATAGTAGAGTTTTCTTGTTGCTAGGTTGTTGCTATGTTACTTGTTTATAAACAGAACTTTGTTATCAAGCTGTGTTTGCGGTGAAAACGTGTTTTCTACCCCAAATATAATGGAGGATATTTTGAAAAAAGCTGAACAAGCAAGAGAATCATTAATTCCATCGAAAAGTGAAGCCGTATACCAAAAAGAATACAAGATATATCTGATGGACTGGCTGACACGGAAAAATGTTATGCCGAAAGATGTCACTGAAACTGTATTTCTGGCATATTTTCAAGAACTGGTAAGGAATTTTCTATGTTTTTCGGTAGATTTGGTAGTAATTGTGTTTATTCGTTTCAGTCAGAAACGTATAGTCGGAATTCTTTATGGACTAAATGGTCAATGCTAAAATCGATGGTGACTATACATGAGAAACGAGATATCACCAAGTTCAATGAACTACAGGCTTTTTTGAAACGGAAGAGTAAGAGTTATAAGCCGAAAAAGTCTGCTGTTTTATCTCCTAAAGATGTTATCATATTCCTAAAGGACGCTCCTAATGATATTCATTTATAGCATAAGGTAATTTTTTTCTTATTTTCCTTTTTGTGTGTATTTATTTCCTTTTTTTTGTTATAGGTTGTTTTGATTATGGGTTATTTTGGAGGATGCAGAAGTCAGGAACTTTTGAATATGAAGATATCGGATATAGAGGACCGGGATTCCGTTATGGTAGTGAACGTACCGGAAAGTAAAACTGGTGTATCGAAGAAATTTACAGTTGTGGATGAAAAAGAGTTCTCCGCTTTGCCTTTATTAAGACTTTATATGTCTTTGCGTCCTAAAGGTATTGAACGATTTTTTTTGAGCTTCCGACAAAATAAATGTACATCTCAGCCAATGTCCCAAGGGAGTTATGACCCTCTTTATTGATAGCGTAACTATGACGATATAAGCTTATAATATCCCGGTCAGAAATAAATCACATTTTTCTGAGATTTTAAAGCGACTACCTAGCGAATTGTCTGTCACTTCTACAATCTCTTGTTTCTGTTCGGACGGTAAATATTTTAACCCCTACTGCATTTATAAAAACCAGAGTGCAGTGCACTTCAAAATCATATTCTTATTTTTAGTATGTCTGCTGCATATTTATTTATAATCAAATAATTTATGGCCCGCTGTCGTACTATTTTAACCAGGGATTTGTTACTGTCAGAATTTTATATCACTTTTACAACGAATATATTTTCATTGGAGTTATAATTTTCGTTTCTGTGGGTAGAAATGAAACACGATTTCGATTTGAATTAGTTTTTTCTTATTTTCCGGGGTTATTGTTTGTTTTCTCAGTGATAGAAAGTATATATCTCTAGTTGCGACTTAGACAAACTTAATTATCACTCATCCTTCATTTCTTTCTTTTGAACTAAGTGTTTGTTGACAAGCAAATTTGTAGCAGCCACTTTATTCGTTCATGACAGTTGCAATGACCAAAAATGTCTAATTTCGTGCACATGCTTGCCGCAGAAAAGTTGTTTGAAAGTGTCTTTATTTTCCGATAGGATACATTTCTCAGCTGTTGTAGGCTGCTTCCTTCTACGAACTAAACATTATTCGAAATCTCGATTTTTATCAAATCATATTTTGGTTCCGTAACCAAAACTTTCACATCACTTCCTTTAAATTCTGCACCGTATGTTCGTAAAAGCCGGAACAATGAAGCTACAATCAGATACGCCAAAACAATTCAAAACAGTTGGATATTATGTTTTATTTAATATCGTTCCCTGGCACAATACTTACTTAACATTTTACGTCGACATTTGTAGAAATATATCAGCCAGATCGCAATTTACATAGAAAAGGCATTTAAATCGGAAATTAGAATAGTAATAAAATAGCTTTTAAAGTCATTGTACATCCGCGGACGGTAAAGTAAGTCTATTTACATATTTATATGACGTGTTCTACTATGATGTGTCGTCTACACATGAGCGGTGGAGTGTGAAAATGCTAAACTAGGATTCTAGTCAACGAGAATGTAAACAATTTCGAGTATTTTTTATTTTGAAAGTTATCTCAATATTCAAGGTGGTGACAAATAACGATTCAAGAGAATCGAATGCAAGTATGAATTTTTCAAAATATGAAAGATCTCAAGAGTCTAGACTCCTCGTTACAAATATACATAAATATATCAATGGCTGCATACATCAATTCTCAGTTCTAATCAGCTACTTCATTTTTTTCGGATCTTGAGGAAAGTTTATCATATGAAAACTTTTTATTCCGGTTATACCGGCGCATTCGCCAATTTTTTTATTATTTTGTCACTTCAAATATACGTTTCACTAGGCACGGTCGGTGACTTTAATGTATAATATGTATCGATACAAATTTATTTCGAACAAAAATTTAATGACGTCAGTTTTTCCCACCTCTTTTGGAGATATATAATCTATTGAGAAAAACTCAATTAAAAAATTCCATTTCATGCAAGTTTTAATTACATATAACGGGTAAACATCATGACTTTTATAATAAACCATTTACCTCAGGGAAAATTGAGTTCCCTAAGGTTAATTTAGGAATTACAAGCATGTCATATATAATTAAAAATATACGGATTTCGCTTTTACTAACTCTTTTGAAATGAGTTGTTCACATAAATGAATAATAAATTGTGAACATCAAATGCTTTCGTTCTTTATATAGTTTACTCATGGATGGGCACTTTAGACTAATAGTCAGAGAGCTTATTAAAAACTACCATTAAATTGAGCAACTTAAAAAATACGGGTAGTATTACTAACACGATACTTCTACATATAACAAAAGTGTAACTGATCGCGGCACTGTGCAGGGAAGATATTTAAAAGAAACAATAACAAATCATTAATGATAATTATTGAAGCAAAATTTTTGACTGTTTGTTTGTCACGTTGTCCGTGTGTTTGTGCGCGTTAATCTCTGAAGCTTCTTATATTAGATTTGTGTTCGATTTTCAGTAATGTATTGTTAAAAACCTCACTTCATTCAGTGTTTGATTCATTTCAATCTGTTTATATGAATGGCAAACATATATATTGGAGAAAAATAACTTCAAAAAACTGTTTAACTGACTTGAAAACAAACGCCCATCAAATGTTTACGAAAAAGCAACAAATTGATTGTAATTTTATGAAACTGTATTGAACTGAATGCGTAGTAAATTTCCAATATTTTATAAGAATACATAGTTTGTGTTATAATGTTAGATACAATAATAATGTAGAATACTAAAAATTGGTGAATGTTTTGTAATTTTTCTGAATAGAGTTGGAATTATTCACGTGGGTAATTTACAAAACGTGATTTTATTATTAAAAAAATGCGTTAAAACTTCCAAAGCATTTTTTGTAAAATTACTATAAATTTGTAACAGTACGGATGGCACAGGAATATAGATTTGATATTTCTCGGAAAATATTATGAGTGCTACTGCTGTTCGTTAAAATAAAAACGTGTTTTTATAATTTCCATTTATTTTAGGGTTGATTTGATTCCCTTGCTTTTCTTGTACTACATGCGACTTTCGCGTGAAAAATAAAAAAAAAGTTTATGCATGGTAAATACATGATTTCTTAAATAATATTCTTTTTCAAATCGCGATATATATTTTTTGGTAAGGATGACCTTTCAATATTTTTTGGCCTACGAATGGTTTCATATGGCATTGCAACCATCTGTCGGGAAAGCTGTATCAAGGGTATATTATGCCATATATCCGGTATCATGAGAACGCACCATTTTTTCCATATCAAGCGTCATCATCACCTTTTTCATTACTTTTGAGTCCTGAAAGTTCTGGTTCATGATCCTTGCTCACTTTGTTAGTTTATATATTTTCGTTACAAACTTGGCTCGCAGACTATCTCACCGAAAGTTGATTCACTTTTATGACAATTCATTTTGTGTTCGTTGAATGTGGTCGCATGAAAAAGCCGCATATGTCCGGCATTTCTATATTATGAAATTACATGTAGATACGGTTTTGAAAATTGCTCGTTCTGGGGCAAGACAAACGATTGCTGAACGTATTCCCTTCATTTTGTTTCCATTCTTTATCGGAACTTCGCTTGACCAAATTGAGTTCGAGAACCGAAACATGATTTTTCATCTAATGGGTGGAACTGAAATTGAAAATGAGAGTGAGTATTACGTATCAAAGGTGACGGAAGAATTGTTACTCATGTAATTTTTTCAAATTTTAGGAATAACTACCAGAGTGTTTGAAAAAAAATCTTTTTGGTTTCCACTTCTACAAGAGGTTATGCCCGCCTTATGAACGACAACCCAAGAAGTTGAAACTTGTCCGAGCTAAGAATTAAGAAAATCCAAACTTTCAACGTGCCATTCCTAGCACGAATAAATATGAAACAAATAATAATAACCCAAATTCTCTAATATATCCGTGTAATACTTTTCCAATTTCTCCTGCCCTGTCGAGCTCTATGTTGAGCAAACGAAGACCTTCATAGAATAAGTGTCTTGTTTAATAATTCCTGGACGAACGTAAAAACTTTGAATCCAACTCTCTAGTTTTAAGTTTCGATTGAAGCGCAAATAATTTATGGAGTCATTACTTTTTGATGTCGACATTTTAAACAAGGCCCTTCTCGATGTTGACTCAGTTCCGGTTCGTGTGTCGTCCCTATCAAAAATTCATCGGCCACAAAAATAAACTTTCCCGATAATAGCATTAGTTTACCATTTCTTTGATGTTTCAAGGTATTGAATTCTTTAGGAGTAAATTTTCTCTTATCAAAGGTCTAGTAGGTGAGTATACGTTTTAGTGTTTCACATTGAAGTTCCCAGAATATTTCAAAATGATTGTGGAAGTATTATTTCGTCTTCAGATGAATATTCGTACCAATATATTATTGAATGAATTGAGGTAAATTCTCATCCAGTTACTTCGGAAATATGGGAGGTTCAAACCATGACGTCAAAAAAATGAAATTGGTGTCACCATGGAGTGGCGTATCTCAAATATGTATTATGTACTTGGAGTACGTCAGATTTTTCGAAATATTTCGTTCAAAAATTAGATTTTGTAGGACATATGTTCCCAACATGTTATTTTGTCTCAAAACAGACCCAATAATGTTAGTTTATCTTTAAGAAACAGCCTGAGATATATATCTCAAAAAATTTAAGATAATTTCTTGGAACAGATTAGTTTCTTTATAAACAAATATTTTCGAATATAAATAAGGTACCACGGGCATAACAATGAAACATTCCACTCGAACTAAAGAAACCCAACTAAGTCTAATGAATAAAAACTGTTTTTAGTAGATCTGTTCAGACCAAATTTTTTTCTTTCTTGATAATTTTCACACCATAGTAATATCTGTCTCCAGTCTCCATACAACCCACAGCAAGTTTGATGTAGAAGGTGTTTTTACGCTCAGCAGCTAGCAAATTGCTTCGCAAAAAAATGATTATTCTATGCGAAGTGTTATTACTTATGAAGGGATCGCGAAATTCTTGGCAATGTTGCCAACTCAATAAATTTGTTTTGCGCGAGGATGTTTTCATAAACCCACAAAATTTAGTTCTGCCCCGTTAAGACGAGAGATTTTCGTCTCTTGTCTTGTCTCTAGACTAGGGAAATCGAGTGGAAGATAACATAATGAAAATTCACTTTATATTTCATGCATAATTCGCAAATCAATTCAAT